TGTTTGGGGAGGGCTGGTCGTGGATGAACTTCACCTTGAGAGTTTCCACGGGGCACACGATCACCACGGCCTCGGCCACGCAGGTGCCCAGGCCTCACATCAGCCCCGCGCGTGCTGTTCAGCAGTCCCTGGTCATCTCGCCTGTGGTTGCTGAGGAACTCGAACATTCCGCCGTGCAGATGGAGCAGTAGAGCAGGGAGCTGAGGCCGCGGTACAGGCCCAGGACGCCAAGGCTGCGGACCGTCGGCCACGCGCAGGGCCTGATGCTCTGGTAACTTGGCCGGTGCGAGCGCTTGCCCAGCTGCCTCTGTGTCTTCACGTATTGGGAGGGGAAGGTGATGCAGATCTCGATGCCGCCCCCGAGGCCGCCTGCCAGGATCGCCTTCCCCAGGTGTGTCGGCTTGGCGTTCCCGCACGCAGGCCTGGCGGCCGCCGTACCACGCAAAACGTGCGGTGCGGCCGTGGCGGGCTGGAGGCGGGGCGCTGAGTGGCGGCTTCCGGTCGGAGCCTAGTGAACTCCGCGCTCAAAATAAATTTTATTTTCTTCTTCTTCTTCTTCTTTTTTTTTGTTGCGGAGTCTCGCTCTGTCGCCCAGGCTGGAGTGCAGTGGCGTGCTCTTGGCTCACTGCAAACTCCGCCTTCCGGGTTCAAGCAATTCTGCTGCCTCAGCCTCCCAAGTAGCTGGGATTACAGGTGCACGCCACCATGCCCGGCAAATTTTCCTATTTTAAAGTAGAGACGGGGTTTCATCATATTGGTCAGGCTGATCTGGAACCCCTGACCTCGTGATCCGCCCATTTCATCAAAATAAACTTTCTAACTTAACTGAGACCTGCCTGAAATTTTCGAGGTTCACAATCTTTAAGGTAACAGCTTAAGATTTTTCAACCTTTCTTCTTTTTAAATACACGAATTTAAAGTTATATATTTCTCTTAATTTAAGCACTACTTTAGCTCGATCCAAAATGTTTTGACATGTCACATTTTTATTATTGTTCAAAATGTTTTCTCATGAATTATTAAAAAGTGTTCTGCTTACCTTCTAATTATTTGGAGTTTTTTTGTTTTGTTTTGTTTTTAAATTCCACAGTGGGCCGGGCATGGTGGCTCACACCTGTAATCCCAGCACTTTGGGAGGCCGAGGCAGGCGAATCACCTGAGGTCAGGAGAGACCAACATGGCCAACATGGTGAAACTCGGTTTCTAATAAAAATACAAAAATTAGCTGGGCGTGGTGGCAGGTGCCTGTAATCCCAGGGGAGGCTGAGACAGGAGAATCACTTGAACCTGGGAGACTGAGTTTGCAGTGAGCAGAGATTGTGCCACTGCCCTCCAGCCTGGGAGACGGAGTGAAACTCTGTCTCGAAAAAATAAAAAATAAAAAAATAAAATTCCATAGTTGTCACAGAACACATTCTATGTGATTACAGTTTTTCGAATATTTATTGTCTTCTTTATGACTTGCATATGTTCTATTTTTGTAAATGTTTCATGTGCACATGAAAGGAATGTGTATTATACAGTTGTTAACATTAATTTGTGTCTAATTTATCACTTCTTGAGAGAAGTGTGGTAAGATCTTCAAGTCTGTATTTTTCTCTTTTTTCTTTTTTATTCTGAAATATATATAACATACAATTTACTGTATCTTTTTTTTACTTTGGTAAACTTTATATATTTTGAGACCATGTTTATTATGTGCATACAAATTTAGTATTGTTATGTCATTCAGATGAACTGGCTAATTTACTATTATATTTTTCTTCATTTTCTTTTTATCTTAATACTTTATGCCTTAAAGTCTACTTTGTCTTATATTAGTTTAGTCACACTACCTTCTTTTTGGTTGATGTTTGCATAGCGTATCTTTTTTTTCTGAGATAGGGCTTTACTTCATCACCTGGACTGGAGTGCAGTGGTATACTTATAGCTTATTGTAGCCACACCCTCCCATGCTCAGGCGATCCTCCCACCTCAGTCTCCTGAGAAGCTGGGATCACAGTCACACTCCACCACTTCGTGCTAATTTTTAAAATTATTATATGTAGAGAAGGGTTCTCCCTATGTTGCCCAGCCTGGTCTCGAACTCCTGGACTCAAGCAGTCCTCTGGTTACAGCTTCCCAAAGTGCTGGGATTACAGACATAAGCCACTGCACCTGGCCCATGGAGTATCTTTTTGGAGTCTGTGACTACTTACTTATTTGTAAACAGACTATTGTCTTCAAGGTTTTAAATTTACAAAAAAACAATGATGGCAAGTACAGTGATCTCATATATGCCACATCCAGTTTGTCTTGTATCTATATTTGTCTTTAGTATGGTACTTTTCACACAATTAACAAACCAATATTGCAGTATACGTTGTTCTTACCTAAAGTCTAGAGCCTGCTCTAGACTTTTTAATATTCACTCCTGCTCTACAACTTGCCCTGGTCTCTCCCTCTACCTTATGCCCCTGGGTCGAATTCTTTCTCCTGAGGAGGCAAGAATTGGGGTTGCTGCAGACCCATACAGACTGGCCACTGCTAACAGCATTATTGTTAGTTTCCATGTGCCAGTTCTTTAGAACTTGAATCTGTATGTTGTTTTTAACTGGTTTTGAGAAACTCAGCCATTATGTGTTCAAATATTTCTTCTTCTTTATCTCTACAACCCCTTTTCCTTGTAGGCCAACCACAGTTATGTATGTTGTACTGCTTAATCCCACATGTTCATTCCCACGGTGTTCTGCTCTTTCTGTTCTTTATTCTTTCTGGAATTGTGTTTGAGTATTTTTGGATGTTGGATATTGACTTGTCCCAAATTTCACTATTCCTGGTTTCTTCCATATCCAGCCTGCCATTAGACCCATTTATTACTTATTGATTTTGTATATTTTTACTTCTACAGTGTCCATTGGGTTCTTTATAGTCTAATGCTCTGTTGAAATTCTTCACATTTTTACTTATTCATCTTTTCCTTGCTTTAACATATTTATAATAATATTCTGTTTTTTATACTTTAAGTTCTGGGGTACATGTGCAGAACATGCTGGTTTGCTGCATAGATATACATGTGCCATGTTGGTTTGCTGCACCCATCAACCTGTCATCTACATTAGGTATTTTTCCTAATGCTATCCCTTCCCTAGCGCCCCACCCCCTGACAGGACCCAGTGTGTGATGCTGTCCTTCCTGTGTCCATGTGTTCTCACTGATCAACTCTCACTGAAGAGTGAGAACATGTGGTGTTTGGCTTTCTGTTCCTGTGTTAGTTTGCTGAGAATGATGGTTTCCAGCTTTCTGTCCTGCAAAGGACATGGACTCATCCCTTTTTAATGGCTGCATAGTATTCCATGGTGTATATGTGCCACATATGCTTTATCCAATCTATCATTGATGGGCTTTTGGGTTGTTTCAAGTCTTTGCTATTGTGAATAGTGCTGCAGTAAACATACGTGTGCATGTGTCTTTGTAACAGAATGATTTATAGTCCTTTGGGTATATAGCCAGTGATGGGATTGCTGAGTCAAATGCTGTTTCTGGTTCTAGATATTTCTGGTTAATAGTCAAATGCTATTTCTGGTTCTTGAGGAATTGCTACACTGTCTTCCACAATGGTTGAACTAATTTACACTCCCACCAACAGTGTAAAAGCATTCCTATTTCTCCACATCCTCTCCAGCATCTGTTGTTTCCTGACTTTTTAATGATTGCTATTCTAACTGGTGTGAGATGGTATCTCATTTTGGTTTTGATTTGCATTTCTCTAATGATCAAGTGATGATGAGCTTTTTAAAATATGTTTGTTGGCCACATAAATGTCTTCTTTTGAGAAGTATCCATTCATATCCTTTGTCCACTTTTTGATGGGGTTGTTTTTTTCTTGTAAATTTGTTTAAGTTCCTTGTAGACTGTGGATGTTAGCCCTTTATCAGATGGATAGATGGCAAAAGTTTTCTCCCATTCTATAGGTTGCCTGTTCACTCTGATGATAATGACGAGAGAGGGCATCCTTGTCTTGTGCTGGTTTTCAAACAATGCTTCCAGCTTTTGCCCATTCAGTATGATACTGGCTGTGGTTTTTCATAAATAGCTCTTATTATTTTGAGATACGTTCCATTAATACCTAGATTATTGAGAGTTTTTAGCATGAAGGAGTGTTGAATTTTATCAAAGGGCTTTTCTGCATCTATTGAGATAATCATGTGGTTTTTGTCATTGGTTCTGTTTAGTGATGGATTATGTTTATTGATTTGCATATGTTGGACCAGCCTTGCATCCCAGGGATGAAGCTGACTTGATCGTGGTGAATAAGCTTTTTGATGTGCTGCTGGATTTGGTTTGCCAGTATTTTAGTGAGGATTTTTGCATTGATGTTTATCAGGGATGTTAACCCGAAATTTCCTTTTTTTGTTGTGTCTCTGCCAGGTTTTGGTATCAGGATGATGCTGGCATCAGAAAATGAGTTAGGGAGGAGTCCTTCTTTTACTATTGTTAGGAATAGTTTCGGAAGGAACGATACCAGCTCCTCTTTGTATGCCTGCTAGAATTCGGCTGTGAATCCGTCTGGTCCTGGGCTTTTTTTGGCTGGTAGGCTATTAATTACTGCCTCAATTTTGGAACTTGTTATTGGTCTATTCAGGGATTCAGCTTCTTCCTGGTTTAGTCTTGGGAGGGTGTACGTGTCCACGAATTTATCAATTTCTTCTAGATTTTCTAGTTTATTTACGTAGAGGTATTTATAGTATTCTTTGTATTTCTGTAGGATCAGTGGTAATATCCCCTTTATCATTTTTTATTATGTCTATTTGATTCTTCTCTTCCTTTTTGTTAGACTGGCTATCGGTCTATGTATTTTGTTAATCTTTAAAAAAAAACTAGCTCCTGGATTTGTTGTTTTTGAAGGGTTTTGTCTCTCTGTCTTTTTCAGTTCTGCTTGATCTTAGTTCTTGTCTTCTGCTAGCCTTTGAATTTATTTGCTCTTGCTTCTCTAGTGCTTTTAATTGTGATGTTAGGGTGTTGATATTAGATCTTTCCTGCTTTCTTCTTTGGGCAGTTAGTGCTATAAATTTCCCTCTAAACACTGTCGTAACTGTGTCCCAGAGATTCTGGTACATTGGGTCTTTGTTCTCATTGGCTCAAAGAACTAATTTATTTCTGCCATAATTTTCCTATTTACCCAGGTGCCGGTCAAGACCAGAGAGTAAAAGAAACCTTCAACAGGCTGGGCATGGTGGTTCAGACCTGTAATCCTAGCACTTTGAGAAGTTGAGCCAAGAAGATCACTTGAGCTCAGGAGTTTAAGACCAGCCTATGTCACATGGTAAGACCCCCCTCATCTCTACAAAAAAATAAAAAATTAGCTGGACATGGTGGTGTGCTCCTGTGGTCTCAGCTATTTGGGAGGCTGAGGTGAGAGGATCCCTTGAACTTGGGAGGCTAAGGCTGCAGTGAGCCATGATCATGCTACTGCATGCCAGCCTAGATGACAGTGAGACCCTGTCTCAAAAAGAAAAGACATCTTTGAAACCTTCGCCTTTGTGAAATTATGCCTGAGGCAGCAAAAGAGGTCTAATTTAATTGACTCCATTTTGCTTCTAACCTCCAAGCTGTTCTTGTTCATTCTTGGGTGGAGGCTGAACTAACTTTGGGAGAAATTTAGTTTATAGTTTAAAACAAAGATAATAATAGCCCTTTTCCAAAGCAGATCTCCTTCTTGCCTAGGGAGTAGATTGCCTTTGTAGGACTAACATTAGCCACAAGATTAGAAATTATGGTTTAGGAGTCATGCAGCTGGAGGCTATAAGATTCTGATCCTCTCTAAATTGCTCCTTGAGCTATTTTGCAGACCCTGCAAATGATAGGTCAGCTGGCACTACCTAGATCAGTAAACTGGCTCATCTGATCTTGTGGCCCCTCCATCTGGGAACTGATTTGGTGCAGGAGGACAGCTTTGACTCTCTATGATTTTATCTTTGACCAATCAGCACTCCCAACTGACTGGCTTCCCGCAACCCACCCGCTATCCTTTCTGCTCCTTGAATGCTCTGGGAAACTGATTTGAGTAATAATAAAACTCTGGTCTCAGGCACAGCCAGCTCTGTGTGAATTACTCTTTCTCTATTGCAATTTCCCTGTCTTGATGAATCAGCTCTGTCTAGGCAGTAGGCAAGGTGTACCCCTTGGGTGTTTACACCTTCAACAATGGCATTTGTCTTATTGTTTTTTTAGAGGCTATGATTGAACATTTTGGGAGAGAATGGGAAGGGTCCAGGGAAGCACTAAACACAGTGGAGATTAAAGTACAGGAGAGGCTGGGTGGTGGCTCATGCCTGTAATCTCAGCACTTTGGGAGGCTGAGGCTTGGTGTTACAGACCTGCAGTCCCAGCTACTTGGGAAGTTGAGGCAGGAGGATTGCTTGAGCCCAGGAGTTTCAGGATGCTGTGAGCTATGATAGTGCCACTGCATGCCAGTCTGGGTGACAGAGTTCTTGGCTCCAAAAATAAAAAATAAAGTACAGGAGAAACTCAAAGCTGTTTACTTGGTGATGGTACTACCACATAGGGAGCATTAGGAAACATGACCAGTGTTTTTGACTTCTACAATGAGAAGTGTTGAGGTAGCAGCATTTGAGATTGAGGGGGCAGCAGTGCTAATATTCTGTGGGCTCAAGACAGTGCTGCACAATTGTCCTTCCATTAAATGCCAATAACATCCCCCATTGATGATTAATTAATCCTTGTAGCACTAAAGATTACAGAAACATGACACATGGTAGTATTATATGGTCTCAAGGATCCAAATGGAATGCTGATGTCACATCCAGATAGTCACAGTGTCCTTGGCTTGTGGTAGGCATGAGAGAAGTGGTATTTGCTTTGGATAGGAACATGGTAGTTTAGATATACCTGGAGGGAGGGAATGCTCCCTCTCAGTGGACTATTTTTATACAATGAATTAACACTCTCAAGTTTGTTGCCAACATTTTTTGTATTCATTATAAACAGGGTGATATGGTTTGGCTGTGTCCCTGCCCAAATCTCATCTTGAATTATAGTTCCCATTATTCCCATATGTCATGGGAGGGACGTGGTGGGATGTAATTGAATCATTAGGGCAAGTTTTCCCATACTGTTCTTGAGGTGGTGAATAAGTCTCACAATATCTGATGGCTTTACAAATGGGAGTTCCCCCACATAAGCTCTCTTTTGCCTGCCAACATGTACAATGTGACTTTGCTCCTCATTTGTCTTCTGCCATGATTGTGAGGCCTCCCTAGCCACGTGGAACTGTAAATTAAACCTCTTTCCTTTATAAATCACCCATTCTCGAGTATGTCTTGATTAGCAGCATGAGAACAGACTAATACACAGGGTTAAACTAAGAAGAATTGACTTGAATTATAAACTGGGTGTCCATCACATTGAGCATCCTCAGAGGGAAAGATGTGTAGACAATGCTATGCAAACCTCTAAGTTTTTCTTAGAAATATTTCTAATGGAACTATTTCATATTGGAATCGCAGATTAATCAGTGGCTTTGTGTGTGTGTGTGTGAGAAAAGGAATGTCAGAGACTACCTTGAACCCACTGTCATACTTCTGAATACTTCAATGTAGAAATACAAAGTGTGCTTCCATTGTGGTCACTCATACCATGCAAGTAAATGAATAGCTGAATACCTGGGACTTTGATTTTAAATGTAATTATGATCTTTAGCAATAACTGCTGGTTTAAAAATGAGCCAAAGTGTAAGTAAAATGGGCAACAGGTAATATACTTCAGTTCCCAAAGAATAGTTATAAGGAAAAGTTGTGTTTCCTTTGCATCTTTCAGCCTTAGAGAAAAGACTTCATCATCTTATAGGTGAGGTGGCTTTCTGGGCTCCTGATATCTTCATAGGGTTTGACTGGAATTTCTTTCTCTTGAAAATGAATTGGCATTTTCTTGCTCTCCACACTCATAAGCTTCACTCCCAGGGGGCCCAAGTTTACATAATCCTATGGTAAACCGACACAAAAAAGAATAAGAGAAGTGATTCAGCAAATTATCACCTTTGATAGAGTAGGCTTTCTTTATTACAGCTGGCCTTTATCTGACAGACTTCATTGCCTACTAATTGCTTGATGCTGTATAACACAGGAAATATGAGAACCACTATAAATGGGAAAAAAACAAAACACTCGGTAAACTTATATACCCTGTGGGGCATACATAGTAGGCAAGATCTCCCAAAAAGCAGGCAGCAAGGCTGGCAAGCTTGTCTCATAGTGGGTTAATGGGGGAGGGATGCTGTCTATAGTTAGTGCCAAACTAACTGTAGTCTGTGAAAGGAAAATAAAAACATGGGACCCCAATTCACTTTGCAAAAAGGAAAAAATTAAGCCGCAAGCTGAGTCATGTAAGCGACTGCCCTTCTTTTTGTTCGTAAGCAGATAGCTGCAGATAAAAGGTTTAATATATCCACAGGTAGCTACTCTACGTGCACCTGATCTTTTGTAAAGTGTGAGGTGAGTACATAATTGACTGTTCCCTACCTGCTCCTTTTCTCTTGCAGCATGTAGATGACCGTACCCTCCTGCTTTCCCCTCCAGCCCACTTTTTTCCTTTAAATACTGAAGGCCTCCAAGTCATCTTTGGAGAAAGGCACAGACCACACACTGCTTCTGTGATTTCATGTTTTTTTCTTCTAGGTATTGTCCTTAACATTGGCAAAATCAACTTCTAAATTGATTGAGACCTGTCTCAGATACCTTTTGGTTTACAAGTCTGAGCTATCAAAAAACAGAAGTCTAACTGATAAGAAATCCCATAGCCAACCCAAAACTGGGTGGACAAGAGTTCACACCCTACCCAATGTCCCTTCCTCTGGGAAGTCTCCCCTGTCATAACTCTTGCTTTTTAATTTGTTCTACACGACTCCTTAGCAAACCTTTTCCAAGTGTTCACTGTATGCCAGCCCTGTGTCAAGTTCTAGGGTGCAATGATAAGCTCACAGACTGATTGGGGACATAGGTACATATGGTCTGTTTACTCTCAAATGGTAGTTGTTGATTTTCTTACCTGTCTTCTACAAGTCTGTAAGTGATTTGGGGGTAAGGCTGCTGTATAGGCATCTTGGAGAGTTCATTTCTTGCTATTCTCTCCCTTAAAGGCGCAAGCATTTAACACGGACCTGGCATGTTGTGGGACTCTCAATAAATATTTGTTTGAATTTAGAAGAAGCAAAGAATGAAAAAGGAAGGTGATGTCTTATTTCTCAAAATATATATAATTCTATTTAGCTTTCAAAATATGCAGCTGTGATAAATGCAAGACTGGAGAAAAGTAAGTTGATGGAGATCTATCACATATTTCAGAATCACTGGGAGGAGGATTCTCAAGTAATAAACCATGGCCATGGCAGTTTGACGACATTGGAAACTTGCATGGAAGAACATCTTTCATTCAACCAAATGGTATGCAATTTGGGGATTTTGGAGACAACTGTCCACTAGCCTGAGATTATCATGATATCCAGGAGTCATGATTCTAAGATACTCTTGGAGGTGTTTCAGTGTTAGAGGAACTAGAACTTTAGTCTTTAAATCTTCACTTGTTGGCAGCAGAATTGAATTGTAGTTAGTTAAAATGGTTTGTGTTGGTTTATTCAGTTTCTTCTGCTTTCTTACATCATTTTTTTCACTACCAGACTTTAAATTCTAGGAGAACTTTTAAAGTACCAAGAAGGAAAATAACAAGGGATGGCTGTGGGAGTAACTGGAATGGACTAGAAAGAAGTTTTAAAATTAAAAGGCTTAAAACTCAAGGTTTTAACGAATGGTATATGTGGCAATTTGTGCTTTCCAAAGATAGCCTAATTCCTATCATATTCCAAGTGTTTCTTTTACAATGTGATGCTGACCTTCCTCCATCAAGATGCAGGAACTATGTTCCTTCCCCTTGGATGGAACTTTGTAACTGGATCAACCAGTAGAATATGATGGAAGTGACAGTGTATGATTTCCAAGGCTAAGACATACAAACTACTGCTTTCTTTCTTTCTTTTTTTTTTTTTTTTTTTGAGATGGAGTCTTATTCTGTCCCCCAGGCTGTATGCAGTGGTGCAGTCTCTGCTCACTGTAACCTCTGCCTCCCGGATCCAAGCGATTCTCCTGCCTCAGCCTTCCAACTATCTGGGATTACAGGCACGCACCACGATGCCCAGCTAATTTTTGTGTTTTTGGTAGAGATGAGGTTTCACCATGTTGGCCAGGCTGGTCTTGAACTCCCGACCTCAGGTGACCCACCCACCTTAGCCTCCCAAAATGCTAGGATTACAGACATGAGCCACCACGGCCAAATTGCTGCTTTCATCTTGGTCTCTAGGATTGTTTGATCTGGGAAAAGACACACTATAACAAAGGAAATTCAAAACATCCTATGGGGAGGCACATGTAAAGAAGAAGTGAGGCTCTCAGTTTAGCCAGCATCAACATGCCATGAATAAACCACCTTGGAAGTGAAGACACCTGCCCCAATCAAGCCTTCAGATGAGTGCAGACCTAGCCAACATATGGTTGCAACTGAGAGTCCACCAAGTGAGAACTGTTGAGTGGAGCCCTTCCTGAATTTCTAACCAACAGAGCCCCAAGAGAGAATACATAATTGTTGTCCTAAGCCACTAGGTTTTAGGGATTGTTATGTAGCATTAGATAGCTTACTTTGTATACTAGTAATGGAGGCCTATAAAGGAATATAGATAGCAAATTGGGCAAGAGTAGGAGTGAAAATAGTATTCAAATGAGAGATGTGAATGGTGGGTCAATTTTACTAATAATTGTAAATGGAATTTACGCTATGCACACGTTAGGTTTCTCAATTAATGAAACAGCATTGTCTTGGTAGTCAAAGTTATGTTCTTATGAATCTTACCTTGAAATCCTTCTCATCCTCATATAGTAAGTACTTCACATCCGTGTCCCCAGACTCTGTGCACGAGCCTTCCTCTTCAGCTGTCTTCACATACTGGAGATCCGTGATGCTCGTTTCATGACTAAGAGGTAAGGTCCTGATCTCATCTGATGAGTGCATCATGTTTCCACTTTCTGCTTTGATGGGTTGCAGTTCCGACTTCTCTTCTTGGATGAATACAAAGGAATTAATTGTGTATGCGTTTTTGATCATATAAAAATACAATACATACTTTGTCACATTTTTAATTGGATGGAACTTGGAGAATTGCAAATGTAGAATTTATGTGTTAAAGTAAGAGAGAGTCCCATTTGTAGAAATTCTAAGTCGTATTACTTTCTGTTAGCTAATAAGTTACAGTAATTATATGGGTGTCTATGTATATGTTGTCATTTTGGTTAGCTAAATAGGGCCCTAAACCTTGCCAGTGTAGACAACAGACCATCCCTCATCCCTTTTCGCCAGTATTTATTTAATTTACTGTGAAACATGGTGACCTTCATTTGAAAGTGGGACTACAGAGAGGAGATAGATTAGGACAAGCCCTGCAAGAGGAGAAATTTAGAGGAGCTGGCAGGTATCTACTCCCTGAATAGCTTTTGTATGTGGGCACCTGCTCACAATAGGTAAGTGTTTTTAAAATTGAAAACAAGAGTTTGAAAAAATATCATCACCGTTGCAATAAAATAATACCTATATGTGTTTCTGGCAATTCCAAAGGCATTTCTTCAGGTGGCACTTCTAGTCCAGCAGCTTGGGTAAGATATAGTCGTCTAAAAGAACAAATAAGAAAACTGGTCTGTCAGTCAATATATATTGCATTGCATGCTTACTAGGGTGTATCTCTCTACTAGGTGCTAGAGAAATGAGACATAATTTCTACCCTGAGGAGCATAAAGCCCAGTAGGGTGGCAGGTAGCCTAACAGCATTTTTTTTTTTTTTGAGACGGAGTTTTGCTCTTGTTACTCAGGCTGGAGTGCAATGGTGCGATCTCGGCTCACCGCAACCTCCGCCTCCTGGGTTCAGGCAATTCTCCTGCCTCAGCCTCCTGAGTAGCTGGGATTACAGGCACGCGCCACCATGCCCAGCCAATTTTTTGTAGTTTTTAGTAGAGACGGGGTTTCACCGTGTTGACCAGGATGGTCTCGATCTCTTGACCTCGTGATTCACCCGCCTCGGCCTCCCAAAGTGCTGGGATTACAGGCGTGAGCCACCACGCCCGGCCGGGCCTAACAGCATTTTAAAGTCACTGTATGCTAATTACCAGGATGGGTAATTAGCACAGTGTGAGAATGCTGGGACGCAGAAGCAGCAGCACCTGAGTCAGCCTTAGGATGAAGGAAAGTTTTCCTGGATGAAACCTGAGCCTAGTCTTTGATATGGTTTAGCTGGGTGCCACCCAAATCCCATCTTAAACTCTAGTTCCCATAATCCTCACATGTTGTGGGAGGGATATACAGTCTTGAACCTGAAGGTGCTTGCCAGGGAAGAGCTAGGGGTGAGAGAAGGGTATTCCAAATAAGGGAATAACACAAAGTTCAAAAGATGAGCGTGAGCATGGTGCCAGTCAGGTCATTGTAGCATTTCAGGTGCAGAATGATAGTGGCCTGAAAGACATGGTTTTGAGATGAAGAGATAAGGAGAAAGCGAGCAGTAGGAATCCAAGATGCCATCTAGGTCCTGGCTTTCACTTAGTGGTGTGCTTCAGCTACAAGCCCAGTGAATTGATGTCCACATGCTGTTGTAGCTCTCTGTACATGGTTTAATTCTGTGCTTTCATTTTTAGAATGTAATTGAATCATGGGGGTGGTTACCTCCATGCTGTTTTCATTTTAGTGCGTGAGTTGTCATGAGATCTGATGGTTTTATAGGGGGCTTTTCCCCAACCTTTGCTCTGCACTTCTTCCTGCTGCCAAGTGAAGAAGGTTGTGTTTCCTTCCCCTTCTGCCATGATTCTAAGTTTCCTGAGGCCTCCCCAGCCTAGTGGAACTGTGAGTCAAACCTCTTTCCTTTCTAAATTATCCAGTCTCGGGCTGTTCTTTATAGCAGCGTGAGAATGGACTATATAGTCTTGAACCTGAAGGTGCTTGCCAGGGAAGAGCTAGGGGTGAGAGAAGGGTATTCCAAATAAGGGAATAACACAAAGTTCAAAAGATGAGTGTGAGCATGGTGCCAGTCAGGTCATTGTAGTATTTCAGGTGCGGAATGATAGTGGCCTGAAAGACATGGTTTTGAGATGAAGAGAGAAGGAGAAAGCGAGCAGTAGGAATCCAAGATGCCATCTAGGTCCTGGCTTTCACTTAGTGGTGTGCTTCAGCTACAAGCCCAGTGAATTGATGTCCACATACTGTTGTAGCTCTCTGTACATGGCTTAATTCTGTGCTTTCATTTTTAGAATGTCCGTTGAATTTTCAGTCAGAAAATATAATGCCTTGAAAACTGTGTATGGCATTTCCATGAGGTTTACCTGAAGATAGCATGAAGTAATTGAACTCTTGCAGATGTGCAAACAACCTTTCATGCTTGGAAGCTAAGCAACCAAAGTGAATCCCCTAAATTAGAGGCTGTTAGTTATTTAAAGAACATGAATAAAGTGTTATCCAGATGGTAATGGCTCCAGCAAACACTGTAACTACATGCAATATTTACACCTACGAAACCTAAAAACTTTAGTTACAGTAAGTATAGTAAAAGTATCTTAGTAAAGGTAAGTTTCACATGTAGCTGTGGTCTGCAGGGAGACATGTCTGAGGCTATAGAATTCTTTTTTTTCCTAGTTTTACCATTGTGAACAATTAAGATCTTTCTAAAGGCCATAACCTTCAGGAATCTAGCTTTTTCTATTAATTGCTAGTTTGCTGTCATTTCTGTACTACTACAGGGTAGCAACACTTGATACTTAATGATTTGGAAAATAGTTTAAAAGATGTTATTGTGGTAAGCTAGTGTAAGATTTATAGGTATTGACCCACTTAGCCTCAGCTATGTGGCGCTGGAGTCCCAGGCAGTCACCTCTGGCTGACAGTTGCCTCATTTGTTTGCCCCAGTGTGTCAAACAAATCCTATAACATTCTATGTGAGTTGCGATGGAAAAAAGTTTGAGTACCTTTGCATAGGAAATTTGGTAACTCCATTAACCACATATCCCATTCCTCATCCAACTTGGAAATAGAACGTCTTCTATGTCCACTGGGGACTGTTCATGTCTATTTCTTATCATCCTACTAGTATTATACAAAACTTAATTCTCAACAAAGAGATGGAGGGGGCAGTTACCATAAAAATATAATATGTATAATATTTCTTTGGCTTGGAAATGGGTATAGTAAAAGCTCCTGAGTACTCTCAGGTTATCTTTCTGCATAAGAAGTCTAGTAGATAATTGAGGGGTTTCATATTTTCCTGTTTCTTTATGCAGTTCTTTCTAAAATGTCCAAAACAGTTGCCTCAAGGAGTTTACAATCTAGCAAAGAAGCAGACATTAAATAAGTAATCAAAAGTTCAAGGTGCTGTGGAATCGTATAGCAAGGACACATTTATCAGTTCCTATAAATGTCAGCCATTGCTGTTTCTTTTCCCTTGAAAAGATTTTGATTTCATTTCTTCCAACTCTGAAGCTAGACTAGGCACTCCATTCCTCTCAGTAAGGAAAACCAACCCCTAAAGCACTGATGAACAATGTGGATTTTACTGACTTTTGAGGGGAAGCGTGAGTATGAGGTTACATTACATACTGCACAGTAAACAACTAAATTAAAATCCCCATTAAAAGTTTCTTAATCTCCCATTCTGTTCTTGCCAACTCCCCCCTGGCCAGTGAAATAATTCCCTTTTTTTTAGAATTATTAGCACTTTATAACCACCATGTCAGAACAAATGTACCAGACCAAGCTGATCCATGTAGAGACATGGGGCTGGCCGCTTAGAGAGTAGCTCTTTCCTAAAGTTTAGCCAGTTCAGAAAAGAGGGCAGTGGACAGCAGGTATAGCAGTAGTTAGAAGCCACACACCAGCAATGCCTGGCAGAGATTAGACATAATGCCAAAGGCATCAGCAGCAGCAGCAGATAATGAGGATTAGAGGTGGGACAGGAATGTAGCACTGGAGACCTGATAACAGAGAGGAGGGCTGGCAAAAGCAAGCATTGCCTACTGGGCGACAGTGAGCACCTACCCCCTATAGGCCCTCTAGGGCATCAGCTCAAAAGACTGGAAGTACAGGAGTTCAGTAATCAATCCTCATTCAGCCTTCCCTCATCTATATTGGTATCGACTCTATCTGAAGCACACAAATAATTATGCAAAGGGGGCAGATGGCCTCTTTCTCTATCCTGCCCCACCCAGCGTATCTTTTAATTTCTCTAATCTTGTATCTGACACCTATCATTTAGCCTGGCAAACAAAGAACCCATAACTTTTCTGTATCCACCTTTCTTGGAAAATGATAGAAAGTTTATAAATAACAAATACATGATCATGTCTCAAATAGTATGTTTCCATGTCTCACAAACAATAGGATCTACTTGTGTGGAAAATTGTTCCTGGCTCTTCCACCAGGTTCAACTTAACATCTGCTTTAATGCCTAGACTAGACATTTCTCTCCTATACTTGCACACATTTCTGTGACTTCCCCTCTCTTCCTAAACATACTACTATTTAGATTATTTTTTTGTGTTGACTACTTGTCTAAATAATGAGTGCCATTTTTAATTTTAATTTTATATTCAAAGGCCCTAGGTTTCTGTCAAGCTTAATAAAATTAAGACTTTTTTTTTGTCAAATAAGGAAAACTTCTAACCAAAAATATAAAACTGTAAATACCACTTGGTTTCTTGTGTGCAAGAACAAATGTGACTTGGAATGCCAAGCTCTTTTCTTGGCCTATGGAGTAGTTCTGACTCTTTCAACCAAAAGAATTAATTCTAGAATCCACAGGAACCCAGATAACCTCCACGAAACTTCGAGAAAGTGGATCAGCTAATCCTGTGTGCTAATGCTTTACCTCCTCCATATTCTGCTGTACTGTTATGTATTTATTTTCATGACCGTTCCCCACGCTGGCCTGGAGGTTCCTGAAGGTTGGCAGTTATGATGTTCACATTATGTGCTGGCTATTGTGACTACA